AGGGAAGGACAAACAAGTTACAAACATAAAACAATACATCATTAAAAAGCACAACAGTCATACTATTCGAGTGGGGTTGAATAGTTTGGAGAACGGGGAAATGCCACCTCTGGCTGGCCCCAGAGTGGGGAGGGAATGGAGATTTTGCAGTATCCTTCCCCTGCCACACGCACAGAATCGGTAGCAACAACTTTTGAATTTCACCACTCTTAAAAACCCCAGCTAGATTGTACAGAAGTGGGATCTTTATTTTTGCCCCTGGCAAGGATGGCATGAAACAAAACGCAAAACAGCGTGAAAGGCAGCAAATTGCGGGGAAAAGTGATACAGTCAGTCAGAGACACTTGATGTGCCTCCCAAGGGGCAGCGGTGGAGGGTCTCTGCTGAGGGTCTGGGGGCTGCCCTCATAGCGCATCTCTTTCCCATCCAGCCAAGATGCAAAGGGACAATTGGGGGGGGGGGGGAATGCTTCTAGGCCTTGGCAACTTTTAAGAGGGGTGGACTTCAACCCAGCCGTCTGGGGGGGATTCTGGGCGTTGAGGCCCACCCCTCTTAAAGCCGCCCAGGACGAGAAGCCCTCCTCCTCCTCCAGAGCCTTCAAAGGCTTCCCTTGGGCATCATTCGGGGCTCCAGGTCTGGTGCCCCCCAACTGCCGGGGCTTTTGTGCAGCCCCTGCGTCCTCCTGGCAGGGATGCGCCCGCGGGCCGCCTGTTGAAGACGGAAGGGCGGCAGCGGAAAGAAGGCACGACTGGATGGCCTTTTCGGGGCCCTTTTCTCCCTGCGTTCCCTCGCCCCAGCAGGATGGGGTTGCTCCACCAGCGTCTCTCGGCCCTGGAGGCCAAGGCGCCCGAGCGGCGGGACCACCAACCCCATCGTCCACAGCCGAAGGTGCGGCAGGCGCAACGAGCCCCACATTACCGGCGCGACAAACCCCGCCCCTTGGGCGCCGTTGCCAGGCGGCTGTCGGTCGCCATGGCAACCCCGGAAGCGGCCCGGCCGGAAGTGGCTCGGCGGTTTTCCACCGGCTGGATTCCTCGGCCGCGCTGGCGGGTTCCGGGCCTGGGCCAGCCACGGTGGCGGAGCGGAGCGAGGCGCGCTGCCGTCCCGGGTCCGGCGCGGAGGGCCAAGGAAGCGGCGGCGGCGGCTGCCACGCGAGGCCGGGGGCGGAGAGGCGGCCTCCCGTCCCCCCTCCGGTGGCTCTACCGCCAACCCCGCGAGGTAGGTCAGGGCCGAAGCCCCCGAGGCCGACTCCGTCCCCGGCGGCCCCGCCAGGCTGGAAGGGATTGGCCGCAACGCCGGGCATGGAGTCCCTCGGCTGGTCCTGATCGGCTTCCAGAGGGTCCTCCGTCACCTTCCTCTTTCTTTCTTTCTTTCTTTCTTTCTTTCTTTCTTTCTTTCTTTCTTTCTTTCTTTCTTTCTTTCTTTCTTTCTTTCTCCTTTGTTTCTTTTCTCTTTCCTTCCCTTTTCTCTTCTTTTTCCTTCAGTCTCCTTCCTCTTCTCCTCTCCTTTCTTTCCTTTCCTTCTTTCTTCCCTCTCTCCATTCTTTTCTCCCTCACTTTCCACTTTTCTTCCTTCCTTCCGTTTTCTTCCCTCTCCTTCCTCTTCCCCTCCCCCATTACTTCCTTTCCTCTCTCTCTCTTCTTTTCTTCCTTCCTTCCCTTCCTTTCCTTCTTCCCTCCTTCCTCTTTTCTCCACTCCTTCTCATCCTTCTTTCCTTCCTCCCCTTCTCCTTTTTCCTTTCTTCCTTCTGTCTCTTCCCTATTCCTTCCTTTCTTCTCTCTTCTTCCCTTCCTTCCCTTCCTCTTTTCCTTGCTTCCTTCCCTCTCCTCTTTCTCCCTCTCCTTCTCCCTCTCACTTCCCACTTTCCTTCCTTCCCTTTTCTTCCTTTCCTTCTTCCCTCTCCTTCCTCTTTCCCTTCTTTTCCTTGCTTCCTTCCCTCTCCTTCCTCTTCCTTTTCCCCATTCCTCCCTTTCTTCTCTCTCTCCTTTTCTTCCTGCCCGTCTCCTTTTTCCTTTCTTCCTTCTCCTTTCTCTTCCCTATTCCTTCCTTCCTTTCCTCTCCTCCTCCCTCTCCTCTTTCGTTCCTTCCCCTTTTCCTTGCTTCCTTCCCTCTCCTCCTCCCTCTCCTTCCTGTCTCACTTCCCACTTTCCTTCCTCCCTTCCCTTTTCTTCCTTTCCTTCTTCCCTCTCCTTCCTCTTCCCCTTCTTTTCCTTCCTTCCTTCCCTCTCCTCCTTCTCCCTCTCCTTCTTCCTCTCTCACTTCCCACTTTCCTTCCTTCCTTCCAGGGCATTTGCTTCACCTCCTGCTGGTGCGGAAAAGATGTCCCGCGTCCCCTTGGGAAAAGTCCTTCTGCGGAATGTCATTCGCCACACAGACGCCCACAACAAGGTAAGGGGCCGGTTTCCTCCCCGTGGGTCCCATAAGTGGAGCAGCCTGGCTTCTACCTTTCCTCACCGGCTTTTTTTTTCTTCTTTTGCCCACCTCAGATTCAGGAAGAGTCCGAAATGTGGAAGATACGGGAGATGGAGAAGCAGAGCCAAGAGATACCCTGGGGCAGACACGAGAGGACTCTTCTGAACAGCTCCAGGTAAGATTTTAACAAAGCGACATCACTCGCAAACAGCTGGCAATGCACCGCTTCTTGCTTGGCCCTTCTCGTGCTTCCCTTTGCGAGAGGGTTCACTCACGCTGACTTGGCTGCTCACTCTGTCCCTTAAAACAGAAGCGAGTTGTGGCCGTTTGAGCCCTCAGGTCTTCGTGAAGTAGGCCAGGCCAGGACTCCTGTTTCCCTAAAGACTCTAGCCCTTAGAAAACACTAGAGCCACCTGTGGGTCAAAAGGTGGCAGTCCTGCCTTAGGGGGTTCCACCACAAATCCGCGAAGCCCTTATCCGCGGAGACATAAGCGCGAAGACTAATTTGCGCCGTTCGAAGCGCTAAGGAAAAACGCAACCCTACCGCGATGACATAATCGCGGAGGGCAAATTCGCGCATTCCCAAGCACTCAGTACCCTAAACCTAACCCTAAACCTAACCCTAAACCTAACCCTAAACCTAACC